TGAGTGTGCCCTGCCAGAGGAGACACTGTGCAGGAATCCTGCCTGGGTTCCTTCAGCGTGGTTCCAGGGCACGTTACTCTGGTGACTCACTGCTCCAAAATACCATTGAATCTAGGAACTGAATAGGTTTCAGGAATGGGCGAGGTATTTCTGAGGCTAGGTGGTAAGAACAGGCACAGTTACCTAACGCTGAACATAAAGTTACGTATTTCAGGAGGAATACTAAACCCTCGTGCCAACCCCTAACTGATGAGGATAAGGAAGAAACTTCCCCATCAACAGGTGATTCCAGAATTGCTCACTGTAGGATTTCTGGCATGCACATCTTCTGATGCATTTGGTATTGGCTATTGCCAGAGAAAAGATTCTGGAAGGTGGATCTTTGTTCTGCACAATTCTGATGCTTCTTCACCTTCTATAGCACTGCCTCCTTCCTTTTCCCTTGAGCCCAAACAAGCCTATACTAGCTAGCTAGCCCTTCCTGTTTGCCTGCCCATTCCAGAGCCTGCCAACATTGTATGACACTGTCAGGGCCCAACCCAGCCAGTGCAGAGTATCACTTCCCCAGAGTTGTTTTGGGGACTGTAACAGTATCTCTGGTTCTCCAGTTTCAGTTCCTGTTGGGAACTGTCTTCCATCTAGCTCCCAGGGTTGATACATGTCCGGAAATAGCATCAAGGGTAAGTGGGTGACAGAGTCACAGCTGACTTTCTTTCCTGATGGCTGAATCCTTCCTGTGCTCCCAAGTCATTAGTCACTCATCCCCAGGAGCACGTGTAGCCAGACAGAGTTGTCCTCTTCCCCGCTTTCCCCCCGCCACATCCATCTTGCTGGCCTCTCTGAGGTGCCTGGAGCACACAGGACACAGAGAGCAATAAAATCATCATAGTCTTTGATGCCTTGACAGAAGGCCCGGATATGCTGGCTCATCGTGACCCTGGACAACTGTAAACATAAATAAGAGGGTGATCAAGCCAGTCATTCACCAAGAGGGAGCAGAAACTGCCCTTGGCTAGCACCTATGTTGATACAATCACACAACCGTCCCGGGAGAGGAATCTCCCACCCAGTAAAGAATGTCCAGTACTCCCAATTTAGTTATCTTTCTTACAAGTGTAAATTACATTCACAACTCCCTTGTAAGAACTGGCATCATAAAGACGAACCAGCACAATTTGGCATCATAGATAAAAGAATACGTGACCCCATGGGTATAAAGATGGGCCCAGCAGCACACTCATTTTGAGAATCAATCTACCATCTACCTGCTGGTCAGGTTGTGTGATTGACTCCCGAGGTCCACACGGACATGCCCAGCCTTGTATTCGTCTTTCCGAGGAATTGAGTGACCGATCCTGGCCTGACACACTGGACTCGAGAGACCCAGAAGGGGGTAAAAATTGTATCTGTATGTGTCCTTTTGCCTTAGTGCATGCATAGAATTAGAGCTCTATAAAGATTAAGCTGTCACTTGGTACCATTATTTTCTTTTCTTTCCTTTGTAACCTCTTTAAAGATCTGTATTTGCTAGGAGTTAAGAAATAGAGCAATAGCCATTGTAACCGTATGGTTTATAAGTTTCTTTAATAAACCTGTAACTGTTTAAGCTTTAACCTGACTCCTTCAGTTGCTGTAACAGAACCAGACACAATTAAAAGAACTATAGCCAGTCAGGGGTAGATGCAGTAAGAGCTGGGCGTTGGGCTCTGCTGCTTCCACGGGGCAGACCCTTGGGGCACCTGTCAGCCTTCCTGGCTGCCTGCTGCGAAGGGACTCTGTCCTAGCAGTTGAAGACTCGGGTGTTTAATAGGGCTCACAGACCACTCACTGCCCCAGCCACTGGCTGACAGCATGAGAGTGTTTAAATCACTTTGGTCCTTAGCCGTTAGTCTGAAATGATATTTTCCTCCATTCCTTTTTCATGTTTGGAAAGGAACTGAAATTAGCCACAGTGTTTAACAACGCTACTGTAACAACTTATAGCAAAGCATGCTTTCCATCACAAAGTATGGCGAGTCATCAACACAGCTCTGGGAGTGATGTTACCTGATTAACTACAAAAGGGAGCACAAATTATTACCTTGATGCAGGTGCTAAACTTTCTTAACTTTAAAAAAAATACATCTATTCCCAAAACTCAGCCTATGTAGAATCTTTCCTAAGAAACTAGTTGTTTGGAATGGAGTTGTTGTTTTAAAAAAGAGAGACCCTTTCTTAATCTCCTCTGTGAGGTCTATATGGATGGTGCACAGAAATATCTCAAGCACTCATAGATTCCTCAAAGGATTTTAAATGCATCCTAGTTATGGGCCCCAAAATCAAAATTTTCCATAGCTACGTTAGCTAAATTAGTTACACTAGTTTTTCCTATAACACAATATTGTGTCATAGAAGCAACTTATATATGTCTCTAATGAGGATTTTTGAGGACAAGAATGTTTTATTTTTTTCTTTCTACAGGTTTAACCTCTCTAGTCCAGCACATTCTTGTCCCACATGGTCCGGCATGATTTTAGTAGCCCAGTTCCTCCTTTAGTTTAATAGAGACTTCCTTACCTTGATAAAAATAAAGAAGACTTGGAACCAATGGCTGTACAAGTTGAATCTCTCTAGTCCATCACCTTGGCTATGTCTACACTGGCCACAATTTCCGGAAAAGCGATGCAAATCAGGTAAGTCAGGATAGGGAAATCCGCGGGGGATTTAAATATCCCCCGTGGATTTAAATAAACATGTCCGCCGCTTTTTTTCCGGCTTGGAGAAAGTAGGAATAAGAGATCCTCCGGAAAAGGGCTTTATTCCGGAGGATCGCGCCAGTCTAGACGCTTTTTTTCCGGCTTTTCCCCAAGCCGGAAAAAAAGCGGCGGACATGTTTATTTAAATCCACGGGGGATATTTAAATCCCCCGCGGATTTCCCTATCCTGACTTACCTGATTTGCATCGCTTTTCCGGAAATTGTGGCCAGTGTAGACATAGCCAAGGTGATGGACTAGAGAGATTCAACTTGTACAGCCATTGGTTCCAAGTCTTCTTTATTTTTATCAAGGTAAGGAAGTCTCTATTAAACTAAAGGAGGAATTAAAGAGTTCATCTTCTGCTAAATCAGTAGGTACAGCCATCCTTGCCATGGCAGATATTACAAGATTGTTTGTTACACAATCCTACAGAAGGCTTAACACCTTCAAGTCCAGCTGACCTCCCACCAGTTGTTTTTAGGTTTGTATGGTACCTGATGCACAGTACAGAGTGCTTTACCCCCTAAAATAAAGGGCAGCTGTGCTGTCTTTTACACCAAATATTTTACCACCATGCCAAATTGAATGTTTCACACAGATGTAAACAGAACTTGTTTTTTAAAGATTTTATTTGCCTAACATGCGTGACAAAAAAAGTACAACATCAAGTTATGCCAAAATGATTAAATAACCTTTGTTTTCATACTGCACGTACTTTTAATGATAACTTTTAAAGTAATAGCTGCTTTCAAATATTTCTTTTGACATAAAATACACAGTATTTTGAAGATACCTTAGGAAAATTTTGTTTTTAAGAGCATGTTTTATGGTTGACATAGAAATTATGTTGCAGCTAATAAACGCCACCCCCCTTAACATTTTAGTAACAAGTGCTGAGCGTGAATGTAAACATTTCAGACTCCTTTAACATACAGCCAGTTTCCTGCCACACTCGTTTCTTAAAACACTTGAATTGTGAGTGGTTAAGACACTTTTAGTCTAACTACACAGTATCATTTTTCTTCCCAATGATCGTGGAAATCAGTAATAGGCTATTAAGTTCCATCCTCCCTAATGTTGGCTGATCTTACACTTACACAAATAGCTCTTGCAAAAACAGTCCTATGTAAATTGATGGCAGACTGCTCATGTGCATATACATCATTCACATAAAAAGGGGTTACAGTATGGGGCACACGGCTTGGTCCTAATTCACCAAGCAGCTTATAAGAAATGAGAGATTTGTGGCATGTCATTTTTTGGGGTAAACCAGTTTGGATGAAGTTACTAGGCTC